CTGCTGTCATTCATCATATCTTTTGTGTTTGTAGACACTTGGACGAACTGGAGAGTTTGACGGACCACTACCGATCTGTGATGGACAGTCTGAAGGACCCAGAGGTCCTGCTGATGGCCACGCAGATACAGGAACTGAGGAGTGTGATGTCCGCTGGATATAAACGATTAACCTTGGGTTCTCTGGGTATCCACAATCACACCTTTACAACAACTCTATACTATTCAAGTCTCTTTCATGTAGTACATATGATGCGTTCTGGTCTTTGCGCTTTTACTCCTGTCAGGTTTGCTCTCTGCTTTGGTTTTTATCTGATCTCAGCAACAACATCTTGAACGTGACCGTGAACACTCTTTTCTTTTTCCTCCTTCGCGTCCCGCAGCCCTACCTAACTTCATCGCCAAGGCCAACCAGGCCATCCTACAGTTCAGGACCCTGCTGAACCAAATCCAGAAGAACGAAAGAGACATAGACGCCAAGCTTCAGGCCATCGAGTCAGCGAACCTTTTCAAATTCCCCGTAGCAGAAAGAGCAGGAGAGCTGCCAGGTAACGAGCCGCCCACACTCCCACTGACGTTTTTATTCTTAACCAGATGCGATTAAGAATTTTTTAAACTGTGTGTTTGTGGGTGAAGGAGTGAAGGAGTTCTGTGAGCTGGTGGAGAAGCAAAGAGCCAAAGATGTGGGCTTGCTGAGCAGGAAGTACTCGGCCATCCGACCTCTGCTCACCAAGATGGAGTGTCTGACCACACAGACGAGCACAAGCAAGGCCGAGCACATGGCCCGGTACTACGCTTACTGGGAGCGTAGAGTGTTTGACTCTCTCACCAAGATGGTGCTGAAGTGAGTCTACTACTGAAGGATCACGTTATTTAGAAGATTCGATCACGTGTTTACGTTTCGCTTGCACAGAATTACGTGAAAAGAGCAAAATCATTTCGATTTGATTTCATTAACGTTAGACTTTACAATATCGGCAATATAGCTATTCATTAACAGGGTATTTAGGGGGAAAAACACGCTTTAAAATGAAGTTTTTCGTATATGTAGCTACACACTCAGCACCTGTAACACTGTATCACAGAGCACTGATTCAGTACAACGCGATACACACCTGTCAGCCAATCAGAAAAGGGGATTTTCCGTCCTCGCTGTTCTTGTTCCTCGCGTTTTCCTTTTTTATTTAGATTATAATTCTGTTTTGTGTGTGTGTGTGTGTGTGTGTGTGTGTGTGTGGAAAGGAACCTACAGGTGTTTAACTCCGCCCTGCTGGGCTCCACCCCACTTTTCCAAATCGAGACCATTCTCTCTGCTCCTTTGATCGTGCTGCACCCCAAAAGCAACGAGGTGTACAAGCTGATCATGCAGTGTGTGAGGGACTGTGTGGAGAGCACCAAGGTAAACTCTCATCTCAGCTGTTTAACATGTCTGTATTATTATTATTATTATTATTATTATTATTATTAGGCAGATAAATCTGTTAACTGTGAACCCCCGTAGCATTTTGTTCGCTGGATGCAAGGCACATGTATCGAGTGTCCTCCACAGCGCGTGGACGGCGAGGACGAGCCGTTCGTCTTCAGCTTCTACAGTGAGCTGTACCAGCTGCCGCAAGTGAACGAGCGCGCCATGACCGCGTCCCAGAATGCACAGCGGCTCCTCGGCTCCGTCGCCCGCTACCTGAATGACTGGAGACGCTACCGCACCCTCTGGAAGCTCGACAAGGCCATCATGCTGGAGAGGTTCGCAGCCAAGAAGCCCTCGTGCGTGATTTACGACGAGAAGCTGCAGTTCTATTCGAACATCCGCCGGGAGGTGGCGCAGCAGCCGCTGGTGAAGGACGAACACATCATCAGGTTGAACCTGGAGCCGCTGGGACGCACCGTGCTGGAGAACGCTCAGGCTTGGGTCACTTCGTTGGGCGGGCTACTCAACGACTCGGCCCGGGAGGAGTTACACGCGCTGCGCAACGAGTTCCAGGTGATTATCAATGAATCAACTATAAAGGTGTAGTTGTTGCTATGATGGGATGAAGGGTGTTTTTTTTTCCATAAGGAGATGTTTATTTAACGCTTTATGGAAGGAGTCTCCATTGTCAGAGGAAAAGCTGTAACTTTATGAGGAGTTTACACGTCTTCACGGATTCTCGCTAACACGGCACGCTGCGTTTTTGCTTGTTTGTTCGTTTTGTCTTGTTCAACTTCAAGAGAGACAATGAAGAGAGGGCTGGTGCTGGAACGACGGTTTATAGCTGCTTTAGCCTAAGCGAGAACTCATTTCGTGGACGTTTGCACAACGAGCTATATTCCGTCCTCAGATAAATACAAAAACGTTAGCGTTGACGAATTGCCGCGGTATAAGAGCAATAAAACACTCTGGGACGTGTTGTTGTGGGAAATGAATAGACATATATAAACCTCACGCTAGAATTCTGGCATACAGTTTAGTACACTAGGATGCAGGACACGTAGGACAGCTCTAATGAATGGATAAAAGTTCTAAAAGTGTTCATGTCACTGTAAACAGCAACTGTCAGACAATCTAAAGAGATCTCCCGACACGCTGGAAAACCTGAAGTTCGTCCTCGGGACAATCTCCGACATCCGGAACATGTCTCTGAGAGTGGAGATGAGATACAGAGACGTCCAGGAGAGATACAGGACTCTGGCCATGTATAATATACAGGTGAGCTCCATCGTTTCTCCTCTGGAAATGATTATTCGTTACAGAAATAAAAAAATTGATTTACCGCACAGGCCGAAGAGGACGAGCTGCAGCTGGTAGCCCGCATCGAGAATCTGTGGAGAGACGTGTTCGCTGAGGCCCGACGGGTGGATCGCCGCCTGGGCAGTGTCAAGAAGACCTTCACCAAAGTGAGCTCTGTGAAGTCGCTCAGCCTCCGATTGTGCTGTATTATTATTAAAAAAAAATATATGAAACGAGTAACCATTTTACAGCGATACGATTTTATGACTCATTCTCGTCTATGGACTCATATCTGGTCAGATCACCGTGGAACAGACAGAGCAGTATAAGCAGGAGTTGTCCATCTTCGCCGAGGGTTTTAACACGGACGGACCGGGAGCTATAGGAGACGACCTGGAGAAAGGTACGCACACATGTTCGCTGGTTTTTTTTTTTTATAAAGGTCCGTGTGCGTAAAAATGACTGCAAACTTAATAACACCCAGAAAGAAAGAAACAAATACGAAAAGTGTAGGCTGGAAGTAATGCCGAAAGAGCCATCGCAAAATAGTGGGCGGAGTCAATGCGATTTAAGCACCGGAGCAAATGTGTACGGCTGAAGGGCAGGTATTACATTTGTGAAAATCCTTTTTCTGCTTGTTAAAGGTGCAGTAGTCTGTCTTTCTCTCTAACTAATGATACGGATAAGCTGGAATAAAAATATGTAGAGGGTGAGTTAAAATAAAACAAAAAAACGTTTAAGCCGTCATATACTCGTGATGAAGTCATGAATTCTGATTGCTGAATCACAATTAATATGCAAATGAGCTAATCAGCGTAACTGGTTTAATTGAACTCAGAGGACAGAAGACCGAAGCTATGTGCCGTGTATGTTAGAATATTTTTAGAGGTGTTTTGCTGTCTGACTATAGCGTCTAGTTTTTGGACAATCAGATTTAAAATCAGGATGCATTCACACCTAAATATCTAGAGCGGTGATTCCTATCCAGACATAACAACACGACGGACGTGGGAGAAATTCGCTCGAGTCAATAAAATTGGATTTAATCTAATGGTAATCCTGAATATTTTCCCACCTGCAGGACTGATGGTTATGAGTGCTTATGAGGAAGATCTGGCTAAGATAGAGGCGAGCCGTCAGGAGCTAGCCAACGCTGAGAAACTGTTTGACCTTCCCATTACCATGTACCCAGAACTTCTGAGTGTACAACAGGAGATGAGAGGCCTGAGGCAGATCTACAAGGTCTACGAGGAACAGAAGGTCATCCGCTCCGCTCCGTTCGGTTTTCTTTTGTAGACACGTTGCGATATAGAAGTACTTTAACCCAAACTTTGCTGTGTTTTTATTTTTATTTTAGGCTGCTAAGGCAGAATGGTCTCAGACTCTGTGGGTGAACCTGAACATCCAGCTGCTTCAGGAAGGCGTGGAGGGTTTCATTAAGGAGCTCAGGAAGCTGCCTAAAGATGTGAGAGCTCTTCCTGTGGCCTTCTTCCTGGAGGGACATCTGAAAGAGTTCAGGGAGTCTCTGCCGCTGCTGCTGGACCTGAAGAACGAGGCTCTGAGAGACAGGTTAAAACTGAAAACACCTCTACTAAAAATGCTGCTGTTCTTAAAATAAATCAGCACAGAATCAGCATCACTGAAGCAGAACTTCAGTAGTTATAGACCTGATCGTTGGATTTAGTGCCTTTTCTTTGTCCCAAGGCACTGGAATGAGCTGATGGCACGAACAGGAACCAGCTTCAAGATAAACCCAGACACCTTCACGCTGGAGAACATGTTCACCATGGAGCTCCACAAACATGGCAGCGTCATCGGAGAAATCGTCACCTCAGCTGTCAAAGAGCTCAGCATAGAGAAGGTCTAGAAGTGTCCTACGGGTCCACCTCTTGTCTCGGTTCCCGTGTGTCTGCGTATCTTTATGGATATTTTTCTGTATCTGTTTTTTACAGGGCGTGAAGGAGGTGGTGGACACGTGGGAGAACACGAAGTTCACCGCGCAGCGTTACTTTAAAGGCACGCAGGAACGAGGCTCCATCCTGGGCTCAGTGGAGGAGATACTGCAGAACCTGGACGATAATGCCGTGAACCTGCAGAGCATGGCGGGGAGTCGCTTCGTCGGGCCGTTCCTGTCCACCATCCAGCAGTGGGAAAAGAATCTGTCGCTCATCAGCGAGGTCATCGAGGTCAGGACATACAGTACATTCTATATAAAATAGAACTTTATAACAAATATAATATACAACTATAAATTCTTAATAGATTTTTCAGAATCTAATATTTAAGAATGTAATACCATATTGGTTTAGCGGTTAGCACGTTCGCCTCACACCTCCAGGGTCGGGGGTTCGAGTCCCGCCATGGCCCTGTGTGTGTGTGTGGAGTTCGCATGTTCTCCCCGTGCTGCGGGTGTTTCCTCCGGTTTCCTCCCCCAGTCCAAACACATGCATGGTAGTCTGATGGGCGTGTCTAAAGTGTCCGTAGTGTATGAATGTGTGTGTGAGTGTGTATGTGATTGTGCCCTGTGATGGACTGGAACCCTGTCCAGGGTGTAACCCCGCCTTGTACCCCATGCTCCCTGGGATAGACTCCAGGTTCCCCGTGACCCTGAAAAGGAGTAAGTGGTAGAAGATGGATGGATGGATGGATGGTAATACCATATTTTCCGGATTTTACCAAATCCGGAATTCTATCATATCCTATTTTAGTTTAAATTCGTAATTTTCTGTGTTACGAAACAGGACTTGGAGACAGGAAGTAAGCGCAGGAGAGCAGTCTTTATTGTGCCACTTAAAGAAGCCTTTTATATCATGCTTAAATATTATAATAAGCTCATAAATATCCATCGTCTCATACTGTTCAGGTTTGGATGTTGGTGCAGAGGAAGTGGATGTATTTAGAGAGCATCTTTATCGGAGGTGATATTCGCTCTCAACTGCCCGAGGAGGCCAAGAAATTCGACACCATTGACAGAATGTTTAAAAAGGTGACCCGTTTTTGCTTTTATGTGTGTAGTTTTTTTTTTTAAAGAAATCTATTCAAAGCCCACTGATTCAGGCAACATTCAGTGTAGACGAGGAGGAACGAGATAGATGGCAATTTTGTGTCGTGTCTGTCCACAGATCATGTCAGAAACAGTGAAGGACCCGGTTATTAAGAGGTGCTGCCTGGTACCGAATCGCCTGTCGGACCTGCAGAACCTGAGTGAAGGTTTAGAGTGCTGCCAGAAGAGTCTGAACGATTACCTGGACTCCAAACGCAATGCCTTCCCACGCTTTTTCTTCATCTCCGATGACGAGCTGCTCAGCATTCTGGGGAGCAGCGAGCCGTCCTGCGTCCAGGAGCACATGATCAAGGTAGCGGGAGTGTGTTTGGGCATGACGTTTTCAGGAACATCCTATACATAATATAATAATATACCTAATACGTTACATTACGTTCTATTACACTACGTTACATTACATAACGTTATGTTAATGTTACATTACATAACGTCACATGACATAAAGCTACATTACATTTCATGATGTTATGTTCCGTTACAATATGGTACAGTCCGTTACGTTACGTTACACAGCGTTACAGCACGTTACGTTGTGTTTTGTTAAATTACGGTCTATTCCATGACGTCAAGTTACATTATGTTACATTACATTACGTTCCGTTCCATTACGTTACATGACATGACTTTACGTTACGTTACATTAAGTTACGTTACACTACATTATTTATTACGTTATATTACTTAACATTAAATTTCATTGTTACATTACATTAAAAAAGATTACATTACGTTACACTGCGTTACGTTGCGTTAAATTACGGTCTGTTCCATTATGTTACATGACATGACTTTACTGTACGTTATGTTACATTACGTTACATTATGTTACATGACATGACTTTACTGTACGTTATGTTGCATTACGTTACATTATGTTACATGACATGACTTTACTGTACATTATGTTACATTACGTTACATTATGTTACATGACATGACTTTACTGTACGTTATGTTACTTTACGTTACATTATGTTACATGACATGACTTTACTATGCGTTATGATTCTACGTTACATTATTTATATGACACTTTACTGTACGTTATGATACATTACTTTACGTTACATTATGTTACATGACAACTTTACTGTACGTTATTTACATTACATTATGTTACATGACATGACTTTACTGTACATTATGTTACATTCGTTACATTATGTTACATACATATTACTGTACGTTATGTTACTTACGTTACATTATGTTACATGACATACTTTACTATGCGTTATATACATTACTACGTTATATTATTTATGACATACTTTACTGTACGTTATGATACATTACTTTACGTTACATTATGTTACATGACATGACTTTACTGTACGTTATGTTACGTTACATTATGTTACATGACATGACTTTACTGTACATTATGTTACATTACGTTACATTATGTTACATGACATGACTTTACTGTACGTTATGTTACTTTACGTTACATTATGTTACATGACATGACTTTACTGTACGTTATGATACATTACTTTACGTTACATTATGTTACATGACATGACTTTACTGTACGTTATGATACATTACTTTACGTTACATTATGTTACATGACATGACTTTACTGTACGTTATGTTACATTACGTTACATTATGTTACATGACATGACTTTACTGTACGTTATGTTACATCACGTTACATTATGTTACATGACATGACTTTACTGTACGTTATGTTACATTACGTTACATTATGTTACATGACATGACTTTACTGTACGCTATGTTACATCACGTTACATTATGTTACATGACATGACTTTACTGTACGTTATGTTACATGACATGACTTTACTGTACTTATGATACATTAAAGTTATTTAACAATTATTTACAACAATTTACTGTAATACATACTTACATTATGTTACATGACATGACTTTACTGTACGTTATGTTACATCACGTTACATTATGTTACATGACATGACTTTGCTGTACGTTATGTTACATGACATGACTTTACTGTACTTATGATACATCACGTTACATTATGTTACATGACATGACTTTACTGTACGTTATGTTACATTACGTTACATGACATGACTTTTCTTTACTGTACGTTATGTTACATTACGTTATGTTACATTGCATTAAGTTCTGTTCCATTACATTATGTTACATGACATGACTTTACTGTAAGTTACGTTCTGTTACGTTACACTATTTTACACTGTGTAGGACAGTGATTTGGTGTGATCTGTGCTTCGTAAGAAAAAACACAACCTTGCTGATCTTCAGGCCAAATCACTCTCGTTTCATCCTGCAGATGTACGACAACATCGCATCCCTGCGCTTCGACACGGGGACGGACGGCGAGACGGTGGTTGCAGCCATGGTGTCGGCAGAAGGGGAGGTGATGGAGCTCAGGCAGGCCGTCCCAGCCGAGGGACGAGTGGAGGACTGGATGACGGCCGTTCTGCTGGAGATGAGGAGGACCAACAGGCTCATCACCAAGGAGGCCATCTACTTCTACGAACGCGACAAATCCAGGTGTGCGATTTGGGTCGTCTTGGTGCAGATTACATCAGGTTACTTCCTGTTGCAAGTTTTTTGATGGCAGGAGAAAGGCACGTTATGATCAGCAGAAGAGGTGGAAATCTTCTTATATGAGAACAGCTCCTCATTTGCAGATGTTCCTGCACGATAACATGCTGAAAAGTCGTAGCTTATAGAAGTAATGTAACGTCATCTAGTTTACTAGCCAGAATTTGAATTAAAGAATTATATTTTTTAGGAGTAAGTATTGCATTTTACTAGTCAACATTTATCTCTAATTTAATCTGGAGCCCAGGTTCCTCTCAAGGTTTCTTCCTCATGCCCTCGAGTAATCATCAGCCTCACCCTGACCTCTCAGTCTGGTGTTGTTGATTGTGCCTCAGGCTGGACTGGATGCTGGACTACCAGGGCATGGTCGTGCTGGCAGGGAACCAGGTTTGGTGGACGTGGGAGGTGGAGGACGTCTTCCGCAAGGTGAGCGCCGGAGACAAGCAGGCCCTCAAACAGTACGCCAAGAAAATGCACGAGCAGATCGACGACCTGGTCATGCGCATCACGCAGCCTTTAAACAAGAACGACCGGCGCAAACTCAACACCGTGCTCATCATCGACGTCCACGCCAGAGACATCGTGGACAGCTTCGTCAGGGACAGGTAGGACGTTGTCGACATCATCGCTGTGTAAGTTGTGTTAATGTTCGTTAATAATTTAAAAAACAGGATTAAGTAAAGTTCAGCCCAGTGAAGTGCAGTACATGTTACAGAATCCTGGATTCTGATTGGTTAAAAGATTGACTCTGTAGAACAGCAGAGATATTAAAGCGTTGGTTCTGATACGTTAACGTTTCTGCAGTATTACAGACGCACGTGACTTCGAGTGGGAAAGTCAGCTGAGATTTTACTGGGTCAAAGAATCGGACGATCTGTTCGTGCGTCAGTGTTCAGCTCAGTTCTCCTACGGATACGAGTACATGGGCCTGAACGGCCGACTGGTCATCACTCCACTCACTGACCGCATCTACCTCACACTCACACAGGTACACACACACACACACACACTCACACACAGGTACACACACACACACACACACACACACACACACATACACACACACACACACACACACACAAACTCACACAGTACACACACACACACACACACACACACACACAAACACACACACACACACACACACAGTACACACACACACACACACACAACACACAACAACACACACACACACACACACACACACACACAACACACAGGACACAACACACACACACAACACAACACACACACACACACACACACACACACACAACACACACAACACACCACACACACACACACACACACAACAACACACACACACACACACACAACACACACCACACACACAACACACAGTAACACACACACACACACACCACACACAGTACACACACACACACACACACACACACACACACACACACTCACACACAACACACACACACACACACACACACACACATACACACACAACACACACAAACACACACACACAACACACATCACACACATACACAACACACACACACACACACTCACACACACACATACACAACACAAACACACACAACATACACAACACACACACATCACAACACACAACAACACATACATACACACTCACACACAGTACACACACACACACACACACACACACACAACACACAACATACACACACACATACACACAGGTACACACACACACACACACACACACTCACACAC